GGGGCTGAAGGACCCTAAGCTTAGCCAGCACCTCCCCATTCTGCTCTGCCCCACAAGACTTTCCCAGCCTTTGCAGAGGACTCTACCTTACGGGCAAAGGTTTAAGGTTGCCCTTTGGAGGTGGTGAAGGACACGGTCCTGTTCTTGATGCTTCTGCAAAGACTTGGAGTCAGGGCTACCAGCACTAAGGAGGGCACAGTTCTAAGGCATCAGCAGTAAGGCCATGAGTTCGCCTCTGGGCATTTGACTCTTTTGAGTCTCAAGACTCATTTGTCCTTGGAAGGGAGGTGGGAAAGAGACAAAACAGAGAAGTTTCAAGCAGGTGCTATGTTTGTCTGCTTTCTCTGTACAGGACATGGGGTTGATGTGCTGAATGCTGTGAGCAGGATGTCCCCCTCGCTTCTCACTCCTGGAAACAGCTGCTGACGTCCTGTTCCATGGGCCTGCTGTGGTTTGGCCACAGGCTGCTTTTCCCTGCTCCAATAAAGGCGTGCAGTTTGGCATTGCAGCTGGTGGGAAGCGTGAGCGTGTCCTTGTGCCAGAGGGTGCCCAGGGCTGCTGTTCCCCACCAGCATTGTGGAGAAGCCGGGGCTGGCAGTCCCTGTGGGGCCAGGCTGTTTGCTGCGGGTGAGGAAGGGGAGGGCGAGCGGGAGCCCTGTGCTGGTGCTACCGGGCATGGGTGTCCCTTGTCCGTGGCAGCCAGAGGCACCATCACAAAGGTACAAGGGGATCCATAAGGACCATTGATTCCAAATCCTGGCTCCACACTGCACCCAACACCAATCCCGATGTTTGAGAGCATTGTCCCAACACTTCTTGGACTCCAGCAGGCCTGGTCGAACTTGGTATCATGTCCAGGTGCCCGACCGCCTCTGGGTGCAGAACCTTTCCCTCACCCCCGGCCTGACCCTGCCCTGTCCCAGCTCCATGCCGTCCCCTCGGGTCCTGTCGCTGTCCCCTGAGAGCAGAGCTCAGCGCCTGCCCCTCCGCTCCCCTCGTGAGGGAGCTGCAGGCTGCCATGAGGCCTCCCCTCGGCCTGCTCTGCTCCGGGCTGAACAAACCAAGGCACCTCAGCTGCTCCTCACACGCCTTCCCCTCCAGACCCTTCACCACCTTCATGGCCCTCGTTTGGACGCTCTCCGTTATATTTATGTCCTTATGAGACAGAGGAGCCCCAAACTGCCCCCAGTGCCTGAGGTGAGGCAGCAGCAGGCAGAACAGAGCAGGACAATCCCTTCCCTTGACCAGCTGCAGTGCCGGGCCTCATGTTCCCTCATGGCATTTGCAACACAAGTCCTGTGAGGAGAGGCTGAGGGAACTGCGGGTGTTTGGTCTGGGGAAGAGGAGGCTCGTGGCAGACCTTATTGCTCTCTGCAACTGCCTGAAAGGAAGGGGTGGGGAGCTGGGGTTCAGCCTCTTCTCACAGGAAACCAGTGATAGGACCAGAGGGAATGTCCTCAAGTTGTGCCAGGGGAGGTTCAGGTTGGAAATGAGGAGACATTTCTGCTGAGAAAGATCAGTCAGGCGTTGGGATGGGTTGCCCAGGGAGGTGGAGGAGTCCCCGTCTGTGGGGGTGTTCAAGGAGAGGTTGGACGTGGTGCTTGGGGACAGGGTTCAGTGGGTGAAACTAGTGGTACAGGATGGTTGGGCCAGGCGATCTCGGAGGTCTTTTCCAACGTAAATGATTCAACAATTCCCTGTCATGATGGAGGCACAACCAGTGTCGCTCATTACCTCAGCTCAGGCCACCAGCAGGTCCCTTTTGGAATCGGCTGGAGCTGGCTCTTGGCTGACGTGGGGCAGCTTTGGGAATCATCTCTCAGAGCCCAGCCTTTGCATCCCCATCTTTCCAAGCCCTTTCCACAGGATCCTAAGAAGTCGTATCACCAAGAATATCAGAGGACACCTGAGGGAAGCCCTCTTCTCCTTGCAGGGTGCCTGTGCTGCCATTGCCCTCCAGACATGGCAGGCTATGTGCCTCCTGTGCCCCCGGGTGTCACAAGCTGTGTTGCGTGAGGATAACGGTGATGACTGCAACAGCCCCAGCAGGCACCTCAGCAGCCAGGAGGGACGAGGAGCAACCCCACCATGCCCATGGGTCACTGGCTGATTGGCCAAGGGCAGAGGCGGCAGCAGGAGGAAGCCCAGCTCCCACCCACCAGCAGCGGGATAAAAGCCTCACGTTTAGGGCAAAGCAGCACTCTGTGGCCGCAGGAGCACGTGGACACGAGGGATTCCTCTTGGCTCTCTTTGTGCCTGAGCACCAGGACCTCCATCAGGTAGGTGCACACCTCAGAACTCTTCTGAAGAAAAAGGCTAAGAAAATATCTTTTTCTTGTAGGCGCAGGTAGCCACTACTGGGGTTCCCCAGATTTGTGCCCAGGCTGCTGCAGCACCACCTGGGCTTCTCCCTCAGGTCCTTGTCACCTTGGTTTGTCTTCTTTGCAGCAGCCCCGTGAAGACCTGCTCCGGGCACCAGCCATGAAGATCCTGTTCCTGCTCTTCCCCTTCGTCCTCCTCTTTCTCCAGGGCGCTGCAGGTGAGAGGGGAAGGAGGGAGATGTGCTGAGGTGTGGACAGCAGCGTCCTTCAGAGGGACCTTTTGTCCTGTGCAGGAATGGGAGAGAGCCCAAGGGGGATGTTGGTTTGGTGCAATGGCTGACACACAGTGTTTTTGTTTTGACACACAGCACAGTGTCCCAAAGCCTCCTTGTCTCGAGCCCCTCTGTGTGATTTTTGAAGATCTCTAAGCAGGCTGACTCCAGAACCTTTCTGGGAAGCTATGCCAGTGCTCTGACCCCTGTTGCAATCATTTTTCTAATGGCTTACCGTGCATGTCTTTCTATTGCAGCAGGAAGTACTTTACGCTGTAGAAGAAGAGGGGGAATTTGTCGTTTTGGGAACTGCCTCTTCCCTGAAAGACATATTGGGAGATGCTCATCTTTCCAACCCTGCTGCAGCAGGTAAGGTCCATGGTTAACGAAACGTATTCCTCCTTTGTCCTTTAAAATAATTGTTACAGAACTCTTCCTACTCTACACATAACCATCAGCATGTACAGAATATACTGTGCAGGAGAGACCTGGAAATGAAGGGGATCGTGGCTTTGGATGTGTGGGTTCAGCCCTGTGTGGGCCGAAGGACCCTAAGCTTAGCCAGCACCTCCCCATTCTGCTCAGCCCCACAAGACTTGCCCAGCTTTTGCAGAGGACTCTACCTTGCTGGCAAAGGGTTATGGTTGCCCCTTGGAGATGTTGAAGGACACAGTCCTGTTCTTGATGCTTCTGCAAAGACTTGGAGTCAGGGCTACCAGCACTAAGGAGGGCACAGTTCTCAGCCATCAGCTGTAAGGCCATGAGTTCACCTCTAAGCATTTGACTCTTGAGTCTCAAGACTCGTTTGTCCTTGGAGAGAAGGTGAGAGAGATTGGGAGAGAGACAAAAGGCAGAAGTTTCAAGGAGGTGATAAGCTTTCTTCTTTCTCTGTACAGGATATTTGGTTGATGCCCTGAATGCTGTGATCCAGATGTCCCCCTCGCTTCTTGCTCCTGGAAACAGCTGCTGACGTCCTGTTCCATGGGCCTGCTGTGGTTTGGCCACAGGCTGCTTTTCCCTGCTCCAATAAAGGCGTGCAGTTTGGCATTGCAGCTGATGGGAAGCGTGAGCGTGTCCTTGTGCCAGAGGGTGCCCAGGGCTGCTGTTCCCCACCAGCATTGTGGAGAAGCCGGGGCTGGCAGTCCCTGCGGGGCCAGGCTGTTTGCTGCGTGTGAGGAAGGGCGTGTGTGTCCCGGGCAGCCATGGCGCCAGCACAAAGGTAGAAAGGCATCCACAAGGACCATTGAGACCAAATCCTGGCTCCATAGAGCACCATCCAAAACCAATCCCTATGTCTAAGAGCATTGTACAAACCGTTCTTCAACTCCAGCAGCTCGGTGCCCTGACCACTGCCCTGGGGAGCCTGTCCCAGTGCCCGACTACCTCTGGGTGCAGAACCTTTCCATCACCCCCAGCCTGACCCTGCCCTGTCCCAGCTCCATGTTGTCCCCTTGGGTCCTGTCGCTGTCCCCAGAGAGCAGAGCTCAGCGCCTGCCCCTCTGCTCCCCTCGTGAGGGAGCTGCAGGCTGCCATGAGGCCTCCCCTCGGCCTGCTCTGCTCGGGGTTGAACAAACCAAGGCACCTCAGCTGCTCCTCACACGCCTTCCTCTCCAGACCCTTCACCACCTTCATGGTCCTCGTTTGGACACTCTCCAATAGGTTTGTGCCCTTCTGACCCTGATACACCCCAAACTGCCCCCAGTGCTCGAGATGTAACAGCCACAGAAAGAGCAGAGCAGGACAATCCCTTCCCTTGACCAGCTGCAGTGCCGGGCCTCATGTACCCCAAATTATTAGCAGCACAAGTCCTGTGAGGAGCAGCTGAGGGCACTGGGAGTGTTTGCTCTGGAGAAGAGGAGGCTCAGGGCAGACCTTATTGCTCTCTGCAACTGCCTGAAAGGAAGGGGTGGGGAGCTGAGGTCGGCCTCTTCTCATAGGTAACCAGTGATAGGACCAGAGGGAATAGCCTCAAGTTGTGCTAGTGGAGTTTAAGGTTGGAAGTAGCAATATGGTTTAGTGGAGGACTTGATAGTGTTAGGTCAGAGGTTGGACGAGATGATCTTAAGGTCTCTTCCTACCTAGAGAGAAAATTCTTTAATTCTGTAATTCTGTGAAATGAGGAGACATTTCTGCTCAGAAAGAGCAGTCAGGCGTTGGGACAGGTTGCCCAGGGAGGTGGCGTAGTCACCATCCCTGGGGGTGTTCAAGGAGAGGTTGGACGTGGTGCTTAGGGACATGGTTCAGTGGTGACATTGGTGGTAGGGGATGGTTGGACCAGATGATCTTGGAGGGCTTTTCCAACCTTAATGATTCTGTCATTCTATAGTTTAATGGTGGACTTGGCAGTGCTCATTTCTGGGTTGGACTTGTTGGTAATCAGAGGTCTTTTCCAACCCAAATGATTCAACGATTCCCTGTTATGATGGAGGCACAACCAGTGTCGCTCATTAGCTCAGCTCTGGCCACCAGCAGGTCCCTTTTGCAGTCGGCTGGAGCTGGATCTTGGCTGAATTGGGGCAGCTGCGGGGCTTTTCTCTCAGAGCCCAGCCCTGCATCCCCATCCTTCCAAGCCCTTGCCACAGGACACCTACATGTCATATCATCAAGAATATGCGAGGACGCCTGAGGGAAGCCTTCTGTGCTGTGCCCCCGGGTGTCACAAGCTGTGTTGCGTGAGGATAACGGTGACGATTGCAACAGCCCCAGCAGGCACCTCAGCAGCCAGGAGGGACGAGCAGCAACCCCACCATGCCCATGGGTCACTGGCTGATTGGCCAAGGGCAGAGGCGGCAGCAGGAGGAAGCCCAGCTCCCACCCACCAGCAGCGGGATAAAAGCCTCACGTTTAGGGCAAAGCAGCACTCTCTGGCCACAGGAGCACGTGGACACGAGGGATTCCTCTTGGCTCTCTTTGTGCCTGAGCACCAGGACCTCCATCAGGTAGGTGCACACCTCAGAACTCTTCTGAAGAAAAAGGCTAAGAAAATATCTTTTTCTTGTAGGCACAGGTAGCCACTACTGGGGTTCCCCAGAGTTGTGCCCAGGCTCCTGTAGCACCACCTGGGCTTCTCCCTCAGGTCCTTGTCACCTTGGTTTGTCTTCTCTGCAGCAGCCCCGTGAAGACGTGCTCCGGGCACCAGCCATGAAGATCCTGTTCCTGCTCTTCCCCTTCGTCCTCCTCTTTCTCCAGGGCGCTGCAGGTGAGAGGGGAAGGAGGGAGATGTGCTGAGGTGTGGACAGCAGCGTCCTTCAGAGGGACCTTTTGTCCTGTGCAGGAATGGGAGAGAGCCCAAGGGGGATGTTGGCTTGGTGCAATGGCGGGCACGCAAAGTGGTTTTGTTTTATCCCCCCCCACAGTTTCCCAAAGCCCCCTTCTTTTGAGCCATGACCCCTTTGAGGACTGGGTAAGGACTTTCCATCGGAGGTCCCTCAAGCTCATGGAGCAGCAGGGATTGGGCTGTGGGCTGTGATGAGTGCCCCACTTGCCAGATCCACTGGTCCAGGCAGAGCTGGACACGCAGCTGGGCAGCCAGCACGCCTCTCCCTTGGTCTTCTTGCTGGTCCTCCTCCCTCGCTGCTCTTGTGTGCACCTGTAGGGGTGTGAAAGAGCCCTTCTGGGTGAGACACCTTGCGTTGGAAGACCTACATACGCCAAGCTTAAAGATGATGAGCCCAGATGCTGGCCTGGAGTGCATGGAGAGTGTCAGTGCACACACTCTGCAAGCACTCACAACTCACCCAAATCATCACCTCAGCTGTTTGTGTGTCTGTGATTCTCCCTGGCTCCAGGAAGCCACCAAGCATGCAGACGAAGAGGGGGATTCTGTACGTTTGGAAGATGCCGCTTCCCCACGAGACCTGTTGGGAGATGTTCAACTCTAGTTCCCTGCTGCAGGAGGTAAGGTCTGGGTTCCTGGCCGAGGAAAGGAATTCCTCCTTTTTCCATTGAAATGGTTGTTATGGAACTCTTTCTAGTCAATACCTGGTAAAAACTCTGCTGCATTTATGCTCTGTGGGAGAGTCCCAGGAAGGGAGGGAAGAGTCCTTATAAATTTTAGACTATCTTTTTGGGGGTTGAAACAGTTCCAACTCCCAAGACCAATGTGTCATTCTTTTGCACTATGTATTTAGCTTTCATAACAGAGGAGGTGGGAGCAACTGAGAGCACGGGAGAAGGAAATTGCAAACCGGTGTCATGCTTTCTGCTTCCTTGTTACAGTACATGGGGTTGATGCCCTGAATGCTGTGAGCAGGATGTCCCCCTCGCCTCTCGCTCCTGGAAACGGCTCCTGACGTCCTCTTCCCATTCCCGTCCCCGCAGTCTCCCCGTGCAGTGCCTGTGAGAGTCGCAGCACTGCTCCTGCTGGCTGCAAGGGCACCCATGTGCTGGAGACATCCTGCCCCAGGCCTGCTGTGGTTTGGCCAGAGGCTGCTTTTTCCCGCTCGAATAAAGGCATGCAGTTTGGCATTGCAGCTGGTGGGAAGCGTGAGCATGTCCTTGTGCCAGAGGGTGCCCAGGGCTGCTGTTCCCCACCAGCGCCGTGGGGAGGCTGGGGCTGGCAGTCCCTGCGGGGCCAGGCTGTTTGCTGCGGGTGAGGAAGGGGAGGGCGAGCAGGAGCCCTGAGCTGGTGCGTCTGGGCACAGAAGTCCCTTGTCCCGGGCAGTCATGGGTGACAGCAGTGCTGGCTATGTGCAGAGGGCTGTGCCTTGTTGGGCATTGCCAGGGCTGCCCACCCGACCTGTTCTGGTGGCCCCGTGTTCCTCCTTATCCTGCCACAGCATCCAGGAGCCCTGCCTGCTAGGGGCTGTGCTGGGAGCTGGGCTGTGCTCTCCCATTGCTGTGAGTTAGAGCTCTTCTGACACTGTAGAAATGAGAAAGAAAATGATGAATATTGACCATGATCACAGAATCCCTGAACATCCTGAGTAAAAAGGGACCAACAAGGACCATTGAGTCCAAATCCTGACTCCATAGAGCTCCACCCAAAACCAGTCCTGATGTATGAGAGTATTGTCCCAAGACTTCTTGGACTCTATTAGGCTTCGCAACCGCGGGATCCTGTGCCAGTGTTGAACCACCTCTAGGTGCAGAACCTTTCCCTCACCCCCAGCCTGACCCTGCCCTGTCCCAGCTCCATGCCATCCCCTCAGGTCCTGTCGCTGTCCCCTGAGAGCAGAGCTCAGCGCCTGCCCCTCCGCTCCCTTCGTGAGGGAGCTGCAGACCGCCATGAGGCCTCCCCTCGGCCTGCTCTGCTCGGGGCTGAACAAACCAAGGCACCTCAGCTGCTAACCTCACACTCCTTCCCCTACAGACCCTTTGCCACGTTCATAGCACTCCTTTTGGCACTCTTCAATAGATTTATGCCCTTCTGACACAGAGGAGCCCCAAACTGCCCCCAGTGCCCGAGGTGGGGTGGCAGCAGGAAGAGCAGAGCAGGACAATCCCTTCCCTCGACCAGCTGCAGTGCTGGGCCTCATGTTCCCTCATGGCATTTGCAACACAAGTCCTGTGAGGAGAGGCTGAGGGCACTGGGGGTGTTTGGGCTGGAGAAGAGGAGGCTCAGGGCAGACCTTATTGCTCTCTGCAACTGCCTGAAAGGAAGGGGTGGGGAGCTGGGGTTCAGCCTCTTCTCACAGGTAACCAGTGATAGGACCAGAGGGAATGTCCTCAAGTTGTGCCAGGGGAGGTTCAGGTTGGAAATGAGGAGACATTTCTGCTGAGAAAGATCAGTCAGGCGTTGGGACGGGTTGCCCAGGGAGGTGGAGGAGTCACCGTCCATGGGGGTGTTCAAGGAGAGGTTGGACGTGGTGCTTGGGGACAGGGTTCAGTGCGTGACATTGGTGGTTGGGGACATGGTTGGTCCAGATGATCTTGGAGGTCTTTTCCAACCCAAATGATTCAATGATTCCCTGTCATGATGGAGGCACAACCAGTGTCACTCATTAGCTCAGCTCTGGCCACCAGCAGGTCCCTTTTGGAGTCAGCTGGAGCTGGCTCTTGCCTGACATGGGGCAGCTTTGGGAATCGTCTCTCAGAGCCCAGCCTTTGCATCCCCATCCTTCCAAGCCCTTGCCACAGGATCCTAAGAAGTCGTATCACCAGGAATATCAGAGGACACCTGAGGGAAGCCCTCTTCTCCTTGCAGGGTGCCCGTGGTGCCATTGCCCTCCAGACACGGCAGGCTATGTGCCTCCTGTGGCCCCGGGTGTCACAAACTGTGTTGCGTGAGGATAACGGTGACGATTGCAACAGCCCCAGCAGGCACCTCAGCAGCCAGGAGGGACGAGGAGCAACCCCACCATGCCCATGGGTCACCGGCTGATTGGCCAAGGGCAGAGGCGGCAGCGGGAGGAAGCCCAGCTCCCACCCACCAGCAGCGGGATAAAAGCCTCACGTTTAGGGCAAAGCAGCACTCTCTGGCCGCAGGGGCACGTGGACACGAGGGATTCCTCTTGGCTCTCTTTGTGCCTGAGCACCAGGACCTCCATCAGGTAGGTGCACACCTCAGAACTCTTCTGAAGAAAAAGGCTAAGAAAATACCTTTTTCTTGTAGGCGCAGGTAGCCACTACTGGGGTTCCCCAGAGTTGTGCCCAGGCTCCTGTAGCACCACCTGGGGTTGTCCCCCAGGTCCTTGTCACCTTGGTTTGTCTTCTCTGCAGCAGCCCCGTGAAGACGTGCTCCGGGCACCAGCTATGAAGATCCTGTTCCTGCTCTTCCCCTTCTTCCTCCTCTTTCTCCAGGGCGCTGCAGGTGAGAGGGGAAGGGGGGAGATGGGCTGAGGTGTAGACCTATGTCAATGTGTTCTTCCGTGTCCAGGGGAGCAATGCCACTTGTTGGAGGGATGCAAAGGTTAGCAGGGACTGATTAAAAGAAGCCTTCTGAGTGTCTTTGCAAGAGGACTTGGAAGTGGGGTGCCGAAAGAGCTAAGAAAGAAAGTCCGGGCTTATTGAGGGGTCAGTAAGGGGATTGGGTGTTGGTTGCAAGCCTGTGTCCATCTGCTCGTCTGATCTTGTCACTGCAAGATCTCCCACCAGCAAGGCTGAGGTTAGCGCAGCAGCGTCTTTCAGAGGGATCTTCTGGCCTTTAGGAGAGAGCCCAAGGGGAATGTTGGCTTGGTGGAATGGCTGGTCCTGAAGGTGGTTTCATATTTGATCACGGCACAGTGTCCCAAAGCCTCCTTGTCTCCAGCCTCTCCGTGTGCCTTTTGATGTTCTCTAAGCCTGTTGACTCCAGAACCACTCTTGACAAGCCGTCCCAGTGCTTTGAACTTTCTTGAAATTATCTCTAGAATGGCTTCTCTGTGCATGTCTTTCTATTGCAATAGGAAACGATATCCGATGCACAATAGAAGGGGGACGCTGTCGTTTTGGGGGCTGCCAGTTCGCTGAAAAACAGATTGGGAAATGTTATCGTATCGTACCTTGTTGCAGCAGGTAAGGTCCATGGTTGATGAAACGGATTCCTCCTTTGTCCTTTGAAATAATTGTTACAGAACTCATCCTACTTTACGCATAACCATCAGCATGTGCAGAATGTACTGTGCAGGAGAAGCCAGGAAAGGAAGGAGATTGTTGGTTTGAATGTGTGGGTGCAGCCCTGTGTGGGGCTGAAGGACCCTAAGCTTAGCCAGCACCTCCCCATTCTGCTCTACCCCACAAGGCTTGCCCAGCCTTTGCAGAGGAATCTGCCTTGCTGGCAAAGGGTTATGGTTCCCCTTGGAGATGTTGAAGGACACAGTCCTGTTCCTCATGCTTCTGCAAAGACTTGGAGTCAGGGCTACCAGCACTAAGGAGGGCACAGTTCTCAGCCATCAGCAGGAAGGCCATGAGTTCGCCTCTGGGCATTTGACTCCTGAGTCTCAAGACTCGTTTGTCTTTGGAGAGGAGGTGGGAGAGAGACAAAAGGCAGAAGTTTCAAGGAGGTGATAAGCTTTCTTCTTTCTCTGTACAGGATATATGGTTGATGCCCAGAATGCTGTGAGCAGGATGTCTCCCTTGCTTCTCACTCCTGCAAAACAGCTCCTGACATCCTGTTCTATGGGCCTGCTGTGGTTTGGCCAGAGGCTGCTTTTCCCTGCTCGAATAAAGGCGTGCAGTTTGGCATTGCAGCTGATGGGAAGCGTGAGCGTGTCCTTGTGCCAGAGGGTGCCCAGGGCTGCTGTTCCCCACCAGCGCCGTGGGGACGCCGGGGCTGGCAGTCCCTGTGGGGCCAGGCTGTTTGCTGCGGGTGAGGAAGGTGCTGTGTGTCCAGGGCAGCCATGGGCACCAGCACAAAGGTAGAAAGGCATCCACAAGGACCATTGATTCCAAATCCTGGCTCCATAGAGCAGCACCCAAAACCAATCACTATGTCTAAGAGCATTGTACAAACCGTTCTTCAACTCCAGCAGCTCGGTGCTGTGACCATTGCCCTGGGGAGCCTGACCCAGCGCCCGATCACCTCTGGGTGCAGAACCTTTCCCTCACCCCCAGCTTGACCCTGCCCTGTCCCAGCTCCATGCCGTCCCCTCGGGTCCTGTCGCTGTCCCCAGAGAGCAGAGCTCAGCGCCTGCCCCTCTGATCTCCTCGTGAGGGAGCTGCAGGCCGCCATGAGGCCTCCGCTCAGCCTGCTCTGCTCTGGGCTGAACAAACCCAGGGACCTCAGCTGCTCCTCACACGCCTTCCCCTCCAGACCCTTCATCACCTTCATGGCCCTCCTTTGGACAGTCTCCAATAGATTTGTGCCCTTCTGACCCTGATACACCCCAAACTGCCCCCAGTGCTCGAGATGTAACAGCCACAGAAAGAGCAGAGCAGGACAATCCCTTCCCTCGACCAGCTGCAGTGCCAGGCCTCATGTTCCCTCATGGCATTTGCAACACAAGTCCTGTGAAGAGCGGCCAAGGTCATAGGGGTGTTTGGTCTGGGGAAGAGGAGGCTCAGGGCAGACCTTATTGCTCTCTGCAACTGCCTGAAAGGAAGGGGTGGGGAGCTGGGGGTCAGCCTCTTCTCACAGGTAACCAGTGATGGGACCAGAGGGAATGTCCTCAAGTTGTGCCAGGGGAGTTTTAGTTTGGAAGTAGCAATATGGTTTAGTGGAGGACTTGATAGTGTTAGGTCAGAGGTTGGAGTCGATGATCTTAAGGTCTCTTCCTACCTAGAGAGAAAATTCTTTAATTCTGTAATTCTGTGAAATGAGGAGACATTTCTGCTCAGAAAGAGCAGTCAGGCATTGGGACAAGTAGCCCAGGGAGGTGGAGGAGTCACCGTCCCTGGGGGTGTTCAAGGAGAGCTTGGACGTGGTGCTTGGGGACATGGTTCAGTGGTGACATTGGTGGTAAGGGGATGGTCGGACCAGATGACCTTGTAGGGCTTTTCCAACCTTAATGATTCTGTCATTCTATAGTTTAATGGTGGATTTGGCAGTGCTTATTTCTGGGTTGGACTTGATGATATCAGAGGTCTTTTCCATCAGAGGTCTTTTCCAACCCAAATGGTTCAACGATTCCCTGTCATGATGGAGGCACAACCAGTGTCGCTCATTAGCTCAGCTCTGGCCACCAGCAGGTCCCTTTTGCAGTCGGCTGGAGCTGGCTCTTGACTGAATTGGGGCAGCTGCGGGGCTTTTCTCTCAGAGCCCAGCCCTGCATCCCCATCCTTCCAAGTCCTTGCCACAGGACACCAACATGTCATATCATCAAGAATATGTGAGGACGCCTGAGGGAAGCCGTCTGTGCTTTGCCCCCGGGTGTCACAAGCTGTGTTGCGTGAGGATAACGGTGACGATTGCAACAGCCCTGCAGGCACCTCAGCAGCCAGGAGGGACGAGGAGCAACCCCACCATGCCCATGGGTCACTGGCTGATTGGCCAAGGGCAGAGGTGGCAGCAGGAGGAAGCCCAGCTCCCACCCACCAGCAGCGGGATAAAAGCCTCACGTTTAGGGCAAAGCAGCACTCTGTGGCCGCAGGGGCACGTGGACACGAGGGATTCCTCTTGGCTCTCTTTGTGCCTGAGCACCAGGACCTCCATCAGGTAGGTGCACACCTCAGAACGCTCCTGAAGAAAAAGACTGAGAAAATATCTTTTTCCTGTAGTTGGATGTAGATCCTCTTTGGTTTCCTCAAAGTTGTGCCCAGGCTGCTGCAGCACCACCTGGGCTTCTCCCTCTGGTCCTTGTCACCTTGGTTTGTCTTCTCTGCAGCAGCCCCGTGAAGACCTGCTCCAGGCATCAGCCATGAAGATCCTGTTCCTGCTCTTCCCCTTCTTCCTCCTCTTTCTCCAGGGCGCTGCAGGTGAGAGGGGAAGGAGGGAGATGTGCTGAGGTGTGGACAGCAGCGTCCTTCAGAGGGACCTTTTGTCCTGTGCAGGGATGGGAGATAGCCCAAGGGGGATGTTGGCTTCATGGAATGGCTCGCACAGAAATTGTTTTGATACCCAGCACTGTGTCCCAAAGTCACTGTGTTTGGAGACTCTGCATGTGACTTTTGAAGATCTCTAAGCAGGCCGATTCCAGAACCTGTCTGGGAAGCTGTGCCTGTGCTCCGACCTGTGTTGCAATCATCTTTACAATGGCTTACTGTGCATTTCTTTCTATTGGAACAGGAAACTCTGTCCTCTGCAGAATAAGAGGGGGAAGGTGTCATGTGGGGAGCTGCCACTTCCCTGAAAGACATATTGGGAGATGTTCGGGTTTCCAAGCCTGCTGCATCAGGTAAGGTACCGGCTGAGGAAAGGGATTCCTCCTTCGTCCATTCAAAAGATTGTTACAGAACTCTTCCTAGTCCACACCTAACCATCAGCATGTGCAGAATGTACTGTGCAGGAGAGTCCCAGAAAGGAAGGGCATTGTGGGTTTGGATGTGTGGGTGCAGCCCTGTGTGGGGCTGAAGGACCCTAAGCTTAGCCAGCACCTCCCCATTCTGCTCTGCCCCACAAGGCTTGCCCAGCCTTTGCAGAGGACTCTACCTTGCTGGCAAAGGGTTATGGTTGCCCTTTGGAGATGTTGAAGGACACGGTCCTGTTCTTGATGCTTCTGCAAAGACTTGGAGTCAGGGCTACCAGCACTAAGGAGGGCACAGTTCTAAGCCATCAGCTGTAAGGCCATGAGTTCGCCTCTGGGCATTTGACTCTTGAATCTCAAGACTCATTTTTCCTTGGAGAGGAGGTGGGAGAGAGTGGGAGAGAGACAAAAGAGAGAAGTTTCAAGGAGGTGATAAGCTTTCTTCTTTCTCTGTACAGGACATGGGGTTGATGCCCTGAATGCTGTGAGCAGGATGTCCCCCTCGCTTCTCGCTCCTGGAAACAGCTGCTGACGTCCTGTTCCATGGGCCTGCTGTGGTTTGGCCACAGGCTGCTTTTCCCTGCTCCAATAAAGGCGTGCAGTTTGGCATTGCAGCTGGTGGGAAGTGTGAGCGTGTCCTTGTGCCAGAGGGTGCCCAGGGCTGCTGTTCCCCACCAGCGCCGTGGGGAAGCCGGGGCTGGCAGTCCCTGTGGGGCCAGGCTGTTTGCTGCAGGTGAGGAAGGGGAAGGTGAGCAGGAGCCCTGTGCTGGTACTGCTGAGCATGGGTGTCCCTTGTCCCAGGCAGCCATGGGCACCAACAGTACTGGCTGTAAGCAGAACTGGGCAGTGTACTTCCACCTCAGTCCCTTTCTGTGGTGGGCAGTAGTTTCTTCATTGGATGAGTGCTCAACCCATGTTTCCACGAGTGCCGAGGACTCACAGTCTTGCTGCTTGGTGCTAAAGTGATCTTGTATGCTATGGTGGTACTGTCTCTGCCCAAAGGGATGTGGACTGCACACCAAAAGGATGGATCAGACTGCACATTCGTGTTTGCCCATGTATGTGTGAGCTCTTTAGGAAGCTGTCCTAGCAAAACTGTGTCTTCTGGGTATTCTGATGGACATGGCCCCTCTGCCCATCCAGAACTTGCCTAGACCCCTAATCTGCTTCACGGGTAATCTACTCACCTGCTTATGCCAGGACCCTGCTGGCTCCAGCAGCTGGCACCAAAGTAACCTCAGGGCCTGCATGCGCAGCCTGACTCCAGCAGCTGGCCCTAAATTCACTCATGCACACCCCTAGGTCTCATGCAGTCCTTCAGCACACAGTCCTTCGGCACACACACACACATAGGAGAGGAAGTGCAAATAAGCAGAGTTAATAAAAGATTGAATGTGGAAATATAATAAGATTGGACAGAGTGTGGTGATCAGGCGCAGGGTTAGGCCAGACAAGCGCATTGACCGGCCCCATTTTACACACAACCGGCCCTTTTACATGTATACCCTTTTCTCCATATCCTCCCTTTGTTCCTCCTGCTCCCCCTTCCCTTGCACACCCCATGCCTTGGCAGAGCTCTGTGGCTTCTGCAGTGGAGGCCCTGGAACTTTTGAGGCCCTGGAGCATGTCCAGGGCAGGGCTACGGAGATGGTGAAGGGCCTGGAGCACAAGTCCTGTGAGGGGTGGCTGAGGGCGCTGGGGGTGTTTGGGCTGGGGAATAGGAGGCTCAGGGCAGACCTTATTGCTCTCTACAACTGCCTGAAAGGAAGGGGTGGGGAGCTGGGGGTCAGCCTCTTCTCACAGGTAACCAGTGATAGGACCAGAGGGAATGGCCTCAAGTTGTGCCAGGGGAGGTTCAGGTTGGAAATGAGGAGACATTTCTGCTGAGAAAGATCAGTCAGGCGTTGGGACGGGTTGCCCAGGGAGGTGGTGGAGTGACTGCCCCTGGGGGTGTTCAAGGAGAGCTTGGACGTGGTGCCTGGGGACATGGTTTAGTGGTGACATTGGTGGTAGGGGGATGGTTGGAGCACATGATCTTGGAGGTCTCTTCCAACCTTAATGATTCTGTGATTCTACACTCTCCCTTGCCCAGGGACCCTTGGCTCACACCTTATCAGCAATAAGGTTCAGCCTTTCTGGAAGTGGAGCCTGTAGCTCATTAGCCCACCAATTAGTGCAGCTGGGAGGGTCATTTCTGGTGATCACCCCTTAGCTCAGAAGCCCTCCATCAGGTAACTCCACTGGAATGAATGTTCCCACATTCTCAGCACCAGAGAGACCTAGGAATAACAAAATGTGTTCAATGGACGAACACCAAGTTGCTGCTGTGCCCAGAGCCCCCGTGCTGTGAGGAGAGGCTGCAAGAGCTGGGGCTGCTGGGCCTGGAGCAGAGGAGGCTCCGGGGGAGCTCCCCCATGGCCGTCAGTACCCGCAGGGAGGTGCGGAGAGGCCGGAGCCGGGCTCTGCTCAGCAGTGCCCAGGGCCAGGCCCAGAGGCCCCGGGCCCAGCCTGGAGCCCCGGCAGCTCCCCCTGCCCCTCAGGCAGCATTGCTGGGCCCAGGGGTGCTGGAGCCCTGGCACAGGCTGCCCCGAGAGGGGTCAGGGGCTGCTCCTGGGAGAGCTCCCCGAGCCCAGGGATGTGGGGCTGGGCACCCTGTTTGGGGGGAGGGCTGCTGTAGCAGAAGGGAACCTCCAGAGGTTTCTCCCAACCTCAACGACAACTGTAACCAACTGCCTCCCTTTCTCATTATCCCTTGTTGCATTGGAAAAGGCCTCGATGATTACCCTTGGAGGAACTGACGCTCTGCTCTATACACCCTTACAGTTATTCTGCCTCTATGACTTGGCATCTCTGTGGTGTGCAAAGAGAAAAGACCCAGAGGCCAACCTCTACCACCAAAACTCCCAACAGGTGTACCCTTGGACTCAGGACACCAGAAAAGCTCTTCCAAACACCTTGAGAGGCAATCACTGAGTTGAACGTGCAGCACAGCTCCCTCCTTCCGTGCAAGGACTGCCACTTGTCCCAAGGTGTGGCTGCAGAAGCCATGACTATATCAGTGGTTTATTCACCAGGAATGGGTTAGGAGCAGATGCAGATGGATGGGGTTGGTTGGTTTATGGACCTTAACACATATCCTGGTGTTACTCTCTATTTGAATAGTCACTAGACAGAAAGTTTGGCACGTCAGGTGCACAGACATCTTGTCACAGATGAAAGTGTTCTTGCAATGCCTGCAGGTGAGAGGGTTTTCAATCGTCTGCATGTTCTTGCACATCACATACAAGCTGATGGGTTTAAGCAGATGGAAGGAGGCAAAGAAGGATTTTTTTCTTCTGGGATCAGACTGCTGCTTGCTGTCTGCACCAACCAATTGCTTTTTACATCCTGAAAAAAATTCAACAAACCACTACAGCCCATGTATCTGCTGTGCACCGGAGTGTCACAAGAGGTGTTGCATGAGGATAACGGTGATGACTGCTGTTGCAATGCTGATTGCCCCCAGCAGGGACCTTAGCAGTAGGGAAGGATGAGGAACAACCCCACCATGCCCACAGTTTAACTGGCTGATTGGCCAAGGACAGAGGCAGCAGCAGAAAAAAGCCCAACTCCCATCTGGTATAAAACCAGGGGGTCTGGGGCAAAGCATTACTCCTTGGATGCACGTAATTCCTGGTGAACCAAACCCATCATCAGGTAAGTAATTCCAGGGCCTCTTTCAGGAAAGATGCCATTCAGCCTCTCTGTGCAAATCCATCTTCCTGGAAGCATCTGAATTGCAAACTGTTGGAAGAATCTGTGAATATAAACGAGAACTGGTGGAGGCTGGGAAGGAAAATAAACAGTCATATGAGTATTGGAGCCCAGAGCATGTGGAAGCTGGAGCTGGGGTTTCCTAACTGAAAGGGAGACCGGTAAGGTGCCTTGATGCTGGAGGAGACACCCAACACCTTCTGTTCTGGAACAGGGACTTTATGGGAAAAAGTTCAGGTAGCAAAATATATTTTCCATCTTTTCAGTCTTCAGTCAGCTCAAAAGGTTGAATTGTGTTACTGTTTCGGTCATCAAGAATTTCCTGCCTTCTTGCTCCTCCCTGGGGCTCAGCTGCAGAGAGCACTAGCAGTAAATATGAGGCTGGGGAGTCTTCTTATTGCTCAGAAACCTGGAAATGAACATGAGTTGAAGTTTTGCAGTCCCTAACTGAGCTGGGATGACCTTCCTGAGCCTGGGGAAGCAGAGGTGATAGGGCGGGGTGGTTTCAGTGGCCAGCTTTGGACTGCTTGAGGTGTATAGCACCAACTAGCCCTTCATATAGCATGGCATCTCCAGGTGCAAACTTTTCTCTGAGTTCCAGAGCCTGGAATTTTTATTGATCTAACTACAGGAATTGCATTGACAATTGACACAAGCATCTCCTGATGTGCAAACCATCTCTGCTTTGGCATTTGATTAAGAAGAGACAGAAGTGAGAGAAGAAATGCACTAGTGGTACTTCTGACCTGCTGATTGTGCTAGAAAGCATCTCTCTTGTCACCCCTTGATTCTGTATTGCAGGAAAATTGTTTAATTCTGTTCATTAGACAAACATGCCCTGTGAAAGTCCTGAGGGACTATAGATATTAAAAGTATTTTTTCTTTCCTTATAATCTGAGTTTCAGTAGGTGCTGTTTTGAATAAAATAGCAACGATTAAACATGAGTCTTCTAGTCTGTGTTTTGGGGAAAACACCAGGAAGAACTGTGAGGAATCATAGAATCACAGAATGGGTTGGAAGGGACCTTAAAGATCTTCTAATTCCAAGCCCCCTTCTCCATGCCCTTTCTTATTTGCCTTGGTGCCTCCCCTCTGCAGCTCTGTGAAGACCTGGGACAGGCGCAAACCATGCGGATCCTGTACCTGCTCTTCCCTTTCATCCTCCTCTTGGTCCAAGGTGCTGCAGGTGAGAAGAGAGCAGTTGGGGTGAGATGCGAACTCACATGAATGGGGTTCTCCGTGTCCTTGGGAAGTGATTTGCCAGAGATGGGTAATGATTAGGAGGGGATGGTTCTGATGAATGGCTGGGGTTTGGGGTTTGGTGCTTTGTGCACATGGTTGGCTGAGATCCATGGGCAGTATCAGCCCCTCTAGAGCCACACACAATTTTTATAGGTATCTCATGCTCATTTTCTTTAACTTTTGCTCTGTGCAGGATCCTCCTTGGCTCCGCGAAACAAGGAGAAATGTCATCGAGAAAAGGGCTTCTGTGGATTTCTGAAGTGCTCTTTCCCCTTTATTATCTCAGGAAAATGTTCAAGATTTTTCTTTTGCTGCAAAAAGTAAGCTTTGGGATTGGAGATGAAGTTGGGCTGTGACTGTGATAGCAGAAATAGCAGCAGTTGTGTTTAAGCCCCAAGCCTCACTACTGGCTTTGTGCTGTACACACTCCAGGGCAGAAGCCAGGGGAGGTGGAAGGATCTAGGAAAGGAGAAGGTGCCCTGTGAGGAGCAGGAGGAACCATAGGTCAGACAGCACCTTCCCCATTCCCCTCAGCTCCATGGGGCTGCCTGACCTGGGGGCTTTCAGAAAGAAATGAAAGAAAAGAATGAAGGCTGTCCAGTTGGTAGCATGAAGCACA